ATTTTGTGAATTCTTTTGATTTTTTGGATGTAAAAAATTGAAAAGAAAAATAAAATTGACTATAACTAGAACTAAATTAAATATATTATATAATCCATGTATTGAACAAAAGAACTCTTTGATAGGCTCATGATCTCAACTCTCCAGCTCCCTGTATGCTATAGATAATAGAGTACACGTAATGTTGTTTGTTATTATAGTCATTGGTGATGAGTTATTTGTTATTGTTATTGTGATTATTGTTGTGATACAAAACTGGTTTGAGCTTGTTATGTTTTTGTTTTGATTATTAGACAAAATCTGATTGAATAATTGAAGAGTACTGATCATCTGAAGAAGATAAACTGATTTCGGTTTTTTGAGTAAAAAATTTTTGGAGGATGAAAGTGGTGCAGCAAATATTGTTACAAGAATATTATATATGAGAGTTGACTTGAAACAAACAGTAGATTCACTAACTCTGTTTGAGTGTGTGTTTTGGAAAGTATTTGATTTAGCAAGTATGATAGTAACAATGTGAATAATTTTTATAATAGAATAAAAGTAAGGAGGGATGCAAGAGAATTAAAAAAAAGAGAACTGCCACAAGCCTTTCCTTATGCAACCGAAGGATAAGCAAGACTCTCAAACTTAAATAGACTCTGACCAGAGGTTTTATTCCACTGCATCAGTTGTTTTAAAGATTCTTGAGTTTTTGAATTGAAGCTCACTTGTGATAAAGAGAATAACCCATTTTTTCTTGCTTAAAATTATTATAAAAGGAAAATTTTTAACAAAGTAAATATAATCAGGAGAGAGTTTTTTTTAATAACAAATAATATTATATATATTATATATTATTATTTATATAATTAAAAAATTAAAGAAATAGAATAATGAGCCTGTTCTGAGACTTTCTTGAAGAAATAATTAATTTTCTATTTATAGATTTTATAGTTTATTTGATTTAGTTTTAGTTTTAGTTATATTTATTTTTTTTCTAATTATTTTATTTACAAATTTACAAAAAAGATTTCACAAAATTTTTTAAATAAGTAGATATACTACTATTTAAATATACTGTAACTAATATATAGTATTGTTTTGAATTTCTTTTATAATATTAACTAAATATATATATAAGCAAGCTAATATTTAACTTGCTATTTTTTATATGTAAAAGATATTGTTTTTTATATAATATACTGTATATTATATGTACAATAATATAAATTAATTAAAGAAATAATATTTATTTATGGAAATTTTTTTTTCAAAAATAATAATAATAATAAATAATAAAATATAATAATAAATAAATAATAATAAATAAAAAAATAAAAATAAATAAAAATAAAACAAATATTATATATATATAGAGAGAATAATTCAAAATTTTTTAAAAAAGTAATTATTTTTTTTTTAATGATAAAGTAAAATATATTTATTATTTTTATTAATAAAGTAAAAATTAACTTGTTATATAATTAATATTAAGCTATAAGTTATATTGCTATAGATATTAGTTTATTACCTATTTAATAGATATATTATTTGAAAAATTTTTAAGCAAGAAAAACTTGAGAAACTATTTGTTATAAAAAAAAAAGCACTTGAAACAAGATTGTTATAATATAATAAAATTAAAGAAGATAAAAGAAAAGTTAGAAATAATATTGTAACTTTTGTTAAATGTGATTTCTAAATATAATTAGTTGTTTCAGTCAGATGATAGTGTTATGCAAGCTACAAATAATCCAATTGGTTTGGTTGTATAGGTTTTTTGAGATATGTTGTTATAGTATAATTTAATTAGATTATGATGTTAATAGTGAAATTACTGGAATTTATATGTTTCAAATATTTATTATTTTGTTTTGATGAAGTGTAGCATATTTCTTTTATTGAAACTTGCACAGGGCACTAGTTATACATACTCTCAATCTAGTAAGTTATTGTTTTGTTTTAATATAATTGGATAATACAGAATATTATTGATATTTTATATATTGTAGATCTTTTGATAAGAGTAAATTGATTTTGGTTTTTTGTATATAAAGATAAATGAGAACTGATAATTAGCCAGAAGATTAATCAATTAATCTGATACTAATTATAATTAACAAAAAACGAAAACTCTGAAAAAATAAAATGTTGTTTTTTAACATATGTGTAGGTATTTGAAAAGAAAAAATATTTGTATAATATTCTAAGTATGTTTTGTATAAGAATAGGTAAAAAAATTTTCTTTTATTTAAAGGTTGCTTATATAAGCTTTACTTGGTAAAGCAAAGAATTTGTTCAAAGAGATTTTTGCCACTTTTAAAGCATTTATTTCTTTATGGAAAGTTAATTGATTTCATGCATCCTGCAGTAAGTGAAAATGAACTCCTCTTTCAATAAAAGATTCTTGTTAATTGTTTACCATTCGCCATTTATATCATTACTAAAAAAAAATTTTTTTTATGAATTGAAGTGTTGTGAGAAAAAGTTTTTAAGTAACTATTTTTATTTTAATATTATTACATTAATTATAATAATTAAAAATTATATCTTATAAAATAAAAATTTTTAATTTTTAATTAATTTTCATAAAATCAAAAAAATAAAATTTATAAAATGCTTATAAAATTTAACTTTTTAAAAAAAAAAATCATTATTCAATACAAATTATTCCAAACTATTTAAATTTTATATAATAAAAATTTTAATTTATTGATATATAAATTGTATTCAAAATTTTTTAAATTGGAGTTTTAATTGATTTTGATTTTAATTTTAATTTTGATATAAAAATATTGAACTGAAAATTTTAGTATTATACTAATTAGTTTTGATACTGTACTATCAATATAAGTATTTATTGAAATTTTATTTTATTATATTATCTAAAGTTTATAGGTATAAGACATGCATAAAAATTCTTAAATTAAGAAAAACAGTGTACATTAGTGATCTTAATAATACAGCATTATGATTACAGTGGATAACTCACTAACTTCTCATGTAATGATGGACAAAATCATTAACCCTTCTAATCGCAGGTAACCGATGATCTATTTTCCTAATCTTTTGACACTTTCCTTTAATCAATCTTGAAACATGCGGTATTACGCTACAGATCTGAGTCCCTAATAATTATAATTCATATTTTTAGTCTGAGAAGCTCATAGCCTATTATGAAATTACGGGGTCTTAAGATACGTAAGTCGTCAATGTCAGCAGTACTTTTGTTATTATATATTAATTTGAAAAAAATATTATACGACTCTTAATATTAAATTCAAAATTTCTCATAAAAAATTATAAGCGATAATGAATGTAATTTGATACCCAGATAACAAATAAACAAGAAAGTTGTTTAAGATAGAGAAAATGCAAAGCCTTCGCAGTAGATAATTGCGGATGAGTTTTTTTATTAAAAATTGTAATAGTGATGGGATAACTCATCAAAAAGTTTTGGACGACAAAGAATCATCCAACCACATTAATTGTTTCGATCCCTCCAAATACAATCAGAAACTTTAGCAACATCAATTATCTCTTTTACATCATGCACCCTCAACACATCAACGCCACCTGCAATCGCCGCACTACATGCGGCAGCAGTTCCCCATCCACGTTTTTTGGCATCAGGTTGACCCGTCGCGTTTCCGATGAATCCTTTTCGTGATGGACCAATCAAACACGGAAATCCCTCGAGTGGACTTCCCTCGCCAACCAATTCGTGACATCGTCTTAATATTTGAAAATTTTGGGCAAAATTTTTAGAGAATCCTATACCTGGATCAATGATAATATTCCATCGTTTGACACCGGCTTTGATGGCCTTTCGTACTCGTTCGAGTAACTCCGTGCATATATCCGATATGAGGTCATCATAATTAGATAAATCTGCCATTGTTTTCGAGTCACCTCTCATATGTTGAAGGCATACTGGAACGTTTGCTTTTGCCATGACACGATACATGTCAGGATCTAATTTCCCTCCAGAAATATCATTGATTATGTTTGCACCTGCCTCTACGGCTTTTTCCGCGATCACAGAACGAAATGTATCAATCGAGATAGGTGTATCGGTTATTCCTTTTGCGCGAATCGCCTTTATTATCGGAATGACGCGTGCGATCTCTTCTTCAACAGAAATATCATCTGCATTTGGTCGAGTGGACATGCCACCAATGTCTATGATGTCAGCTCCTTCTAAAGCCAATTTTTCAGCATGTGCCACTGCACTTTCTACACTATTAAATAATCCACCGTCACTGAAACTGTCCGGAGTTACATTAAGAATTCCCATGATGTAAGTCCTAGAATTTAAAATCCATTGAGAACTATGAATTGGTAAAATCTTCTTCACGGTATTTTTTGAATCATGATTCGGAGATTTTAGATATTGGGAAAGTAATTGATCGCATGTATTTAGGTTCTTTGGATGTTTAAACTTACTCGCAATGCTAATATTAAAAAAAGATATTTGAATTAATGATGAGAAATCGTGATAGTAAAACTTAAGCAATACTTACTCGCATAGAGGACGTAAGACAAATTCACGTTCACATATTAACGGATGAGGTATTGTTAATATTTCAGAGTTATATTCAAGGTCGTCATAAAACAAAATATCTAAATCAACAAGTCTTGGACCATTCTTAATTACTTTAATTCTCCCCATGAGAAATTCAATTTCTTTTAATTTCTTGAGTAGTTCTTCTGGAGATATTTTTGTCGCCACCTTTGTATTGATGAAAAAAAAAAACGATAAATCGAAGGACCGTTTTATAATCAAATTATTTAACTCACACGACAGAATATTAAACTACCTTGCATGTAGCATTCAAAAATTTTGGTTGGTCAGTGATGTACATTGGTGAAGTCTCATATAAAAAAGAAGTATCTAATATCTTACAATTGCAAGATTCCTCTATCTGTCGCAATGCCTCGTTAATATTCGCGCAACGATCTCCCATATTCGAGCCTAGGCCAATGAAAGCAAAATGTTCATATCCATCTGGCAAGTCTAAAATGGTTTTCGCAAAGTACGAATAGTTTCGGGTGATCTCGATTCCAGCCGATTCGACAAATGTTAATGCACTTGGTTTTTCTACACGAACGGTAATCTTTTCAACGTCACATTGTGTAATAGCAATTCTTGTAATGGAAGTAGAAATCGCCTCTACCGTTTTATAGGACGATTCTTCAACGTGCTGCAAACGTTGAAATAGCGCGTCAATAATATGATGACAAGTCGAATTGAATAGATTATGCAGAGGAAAAGTTGATCACATACATACCTCTGATATCTTCTTCACAATTGTTCTAAAATCACGTTGCGAACCGGCATTACGAAAATCGGTGTAAATTGTCAAGTTCAATATTACGATTTGCTTTGTTTCTCGTTCCCAAGGATTTATGCCGATTATTGTACTTAATTTCAGATCCTTAACAAATATGATATCTTGACTGTCATTAGCAGAAACAGCTTCAATGTATTCCTCGGTACGTGTTATCTCTACACCCGCAGAGGCTGCGTGTAATAATACTCGGGGCTTCTCTACACGAACCGTGACCTTTTGTACGTTAAACTTACTCAAGCAGATTTTTGAAATTCCGTCTGCCAATATCTCGATCGACTCGTGAGTCGATTCCTCGACGAATTTTGTAATGGCCTTATTCATATCAGAATAGCTTGTGGTGTGAGAAAGTTCGTCCGTTTCGCCAGCTTTTGAAATACTCTTTTCTGCCGTGATGTTTACTACAATGGGTTGACATTTTACACGTTCCCAAGCGTCGACGCCAACTATACTTCGTAAAGCCAAGTTTTTAAGAATAATTTTGTCATTTGGTTCTTTTTCCATGGCTGACCGGCGTTGTTTCCGAATGACAGAAAAAAGTGATAATGCAGATCTCTAATAAGAACTGTATATATATATAAAAAAATTACGTAAAACCAAAATTAATTGGACATCTAATTATAAATACGAATAATAATAAACTTTATTTTTATATATAACAAACATAAATCAAAACTTTATTTTATATATAAAAAATTAATTATGAAAAAATATATTTGATTTATAAGAAACAAGTGTTAGCTGATATAAAAATATTCTATATTAAAAATGTGACCATTTTGTAATTTTATTAAAATTTTCAAATTCACTATATGTACTTAATTAAATCTGGTCGGTTATACATTGTATACTGTACACCAATTCGTGCGATTTACCTTAATCAAACAAAAATCGATCGATATTTTCCGCGTTCCGTCAAAAGCATTCTAACAAAATGATATGTTAATCTCATTCCTCGAATGAATAATACGAAAGCTTTTTGTAAATGCTAATTCGTTAGATTAATCATCACATACCCTCTTGTGAACGATCGCCACAACACAATAGATAAAAGAAAGATAAACGCGTTCATTTTATAAATATTTCATCCAACGTACAAATATACAACAGTCTATGAATACAGAGGATTTTCTTTAAGATGAATCGGTGGTTTTCCCTGCGGAGAATCCGGGATGAATTTTTCTAATTTCTAATAAAAGGATGATAATAATCTTCAGTATCAAGGTAAATCATTCAAGAAGTAAAATGTAAATATGTATGCATACCAGAGCGCTTAGAACACACGCGTTGAATTTTCGTTCGGGCGCTCGACAACGGTGAAACTCTTGGTTATTCGTATCTAAACAATTCCAGTGAGCCTCAAATTCTTTATCACAATTCTCACGTAGTTTACGGAGCCTGAAAACAGAATTCAATAAATTACGACTACACAAAATAACCGAAAATCAAAATGGCTACTCACAAATCAATTGCACATCTCGTAACTTTTCGTCCTTCCTTCAAACAATGCGCTGGATCATTATTCTCATTTTTACAAAGCATAAAATCTTCATTGTACTCTTTACAATAGGCCCCAATAAAGTATGCCGCAGAGTGCAAAGGCGCTGAGGTGGAACCAACCTCGTCGACCTTTGGAATTTCAGCAGGCATTGGGGTGGGGTCCACAAATGCATAATCTGATATGTTTGGATTTTTGGGGACCGCCATAGTTTTCCAATTCACTGTCAGATAATTGAAAGATTAAATTATGATCGAGGATCTTTTTATCAGTCAAAATTAAAATCACATGATTTCGAATAATGCTGAAATATCCAATCATTTCTCGATTTTCCAAAAATCTTCAACGATGCAAACATTCAGTATAATAAATAAATATTTAATTGGAAGTAATTTAAACTGAGTGAACAAATCCATACGATCGAATTTTCAATAACAATGATTACTACTCACAACATTATTCGAATTACATGAAATAATTTTTGAATTTGAATGGTGTTAACTTGGTTTTAATCTCTACTATAATTCAAACCTGCTTTGCTTTTTCATTGTTATTAGTGTGATTCATAGGTCAACTCCAAAATTATGAATTAAATTTATGATGTAAACATAAATTACATCAATCAGCCATAGGTATCTACTAAAGAATCTCTCATTTTTGTCACAATTGCCGTTGGTTGTGCATCGTGCAATTTAAATATACTTTCGACTACCGATAATTCTGTCGCAGTACTGTCTAATCCAGAAAATGCGCACCAATCATTTACCACAAGACCTGCCCCGATCACATCCGAACCGCGATTTATTGTTCCCGCCTGTACATAAGAAATGAATTCATAAGAAATGAATTAAGAAATAATATAAACTTTACAATAACGAACATTTGTAAGATACAAACCACAAGAGGAACTTGCAGCAGGGACGATAATTCGTCTTGATCTTGAATACTAGTACGTGGATGAACCTGTTCATATGGTTACAATATAAATCTTATTTCTGAATCATCATTTTTTTCGTTCAAATGAACGGTTGACCTACCAAGCCTCCTTGATTACTTATTGCACAATAACTTCCAACCAACACATTTCCCGCGATTGTTTGCGTAAACACTTCAACTTCCAACACGTCCCGAATGATCTCTTGTGTTTCTCTATCAATATCAGGGTGAACTAGAGCAACATAGTCGTTGCATGCAATGACGTTCCCTAGGGCAGATAACCTCTCTTCTACACGTTGTATTTTGACGGAATCCGGAAGAGAGTTGCGTAGGTGTTCAAGTTCTTGATCAGTTGTCGTATTTGGAACAAGAAGTCCTTTTTTGTTACCTATTTATTTTTAACTTTTAATTATTAACAACCGAATTTATAAATTATTTTTAATATGGGATCAGTGAATAAACTAACCGACAGTTAAACGACCAATGATCCTAGTACCGGCTATAGAAGCGTGTACTACTGGAATTATATCACCCAATTCTCCTTCAAAGACGCTATGCGGAAAACAGATTACTTCGGTAAGTTTTGAATGATTGAAACCGTTATTAATGAGGAACAAACCTATAAAAATTCTCAGAACCGCCGATGGCAACTAAACAGTAAGAATTAGTAAGGCGGGCAAAGACGCCAATATCATTACTATTTTCAAATTGCGCGCCTGCAAAAGATAAATCAAGGTAAAATGAGTCAGAGAATTTGACACACGGATCTCGAGGCGTACTTACGAACTGCCATTTCAAAATGTTCGAGTGAATTTACTATAGAACTAGCTTGAAGCCCTTAGAATAAATTAACTTTTATTTGAGGGCACAGTGTTGCGATGAAACTATTTTACTATTTATAGTATTTCTCTTTCACGTGAATGCTACGCAAAAAGCGCAGTTTCCAACTGCGCCGATGATAAAATTGGCGAAAAGGCGAAAAAGCGCAGCTTTCAACTGCGCCGGTAATAGAATGAAGACAATAGCAAAAAAAATTTAATTTATTAAATATTCTATTAAATTAAATTATACTGTACTGTACTGTATGTTGTAATGATTTTTATACTGTACATAATAATTATTAATTTTTTATATTACATAAATTTTTTTTTTTATAATTTTTAACAATGATATTTTCTTGATTAAATAATTTAATTGACTTTATATATACAATCTGTTACAAAAATCTTTGAACTAATGTTTAGTTGTTAATTTTATTTATAAATTCATAACCAATTGATAAAATATCATAAAAATTTAAACATATATATTTAAAGATCTAAAAAATAAGATCACTTAAAAGATTTTTTAATATATTATAATAATATCATCAAATTTTGATTCAAAGTGAAAAATATTTTTTTTTAAAACTATTTTCAAATTTACAGTTTGTTACAAAAGCCTTTGGTATGCAATATACAGTGTGGTGCAAAAAATTTTGAAATTTTTTATTTATTCATTACTCAAAAACTACTGCATAGAAATTAATAA